ATTAGCTCCTGGAGATGTTACGTCAACGCCTTAGGTGCAAAGAGTCCATAGCCGCGCTGCCCCGGGAGAATAATAACGTTAACTAAGGGAAACCTGGAGATGTAAGTTTGATTGAATAAGAGCAGTGCGCCACAGCAGAGCTAAAAATAGGGTTAGGGTTAGGGAACAACTGTTTTTTTCTTGCTCTTTGTGTCGGCTGCGCTACGCAGACTCGTTGCCGTAGCAACTGACAACAACGCCACTTTGTTTCAGGATTCAACACCAAAAAAACATTCAAACATTTCCCACACAAAGAACAGAACATTCAGTCCGTTACAGTTTTATGTTTTTAGGCTTGATATCTATTATGCGATTATTAATAAGTGCTCATTTTGGTAGATTAGCTAACGCTGCTAGTAGCTAAGCTAACACTGCTGTGGTTGGTTAGCCCATTTAAGCTCTGCTGACGATCCTGTCAGCGTTGGTGTTTTTTTTTATTATTATTTTTAACTGAACCAAAACAAACCAAATTCCTCATGTACATGTTACGGTTCTTAAAGTCAAGCAAGCATAACATACTCTCTCCCTCACTATTTTTTCTGTTTCTAAAAGCTTTTTCCTGACCTTGTTTTCTTGTCGTAGTGTAGCAAAGCACTGCGTCCCTTTTTCTTTTATATAGCACACATACATTTAAGATTTATGTTATGTTGACAACTTGACAGCTAAAACCACTGGTACTCATTCCTTCTGCCCCAGTACTTTGACCAAAAAAGTTTTGAGAAAGAGATTCAACATATGACTTGGGAACTGTTTCGAACAACGAAAGGCCACTGAAGCAGTTGTTTATTGATATATCTGCTGGAGATCTTCTCTTTACTTTTCCCTCATGCTGCTTTAACTCGACCTCCTCCATTCTGTCTTGTTGTCTCCCTCTCGCTCTCAGGCTTATTCCAAAGCAACAAAAGGCTTGCATCAGTTAAAAGTGAAAACCGTCACACTTAGTCAGCGCCTCTCTGCAGAATAAAGTCAAACACTTCCCGAAGACTCACTGTCAAACCTCACTTTATCTCTCATCTTGTTTCCCCCTTCCCTGTCTACGCTGTGGAGTTCAGAGGAGATTCTCCAACTCTTCAAAGAGTCTTCCTGTCAAACATTTAATGCATTACTAGCAGTGTTAAGAGTAATATTTTACCAGAAGCGTGAAAAACCAGTAGAGGGTAATTAAATATCAATCGTAGATGTAAAGAAATACAAGAAATTCTTTGCATTTTGAAATAACGTCAGTAAACAAAACCAATCATTTTGGTGTTTTTAAAGCCTTTAAGGTTCTAAAATTTAAACTAATAATCTTGTGCTATGAAGCAATTTCTTTTAAAGGAAATTAGAATTTAAAAGAAAATTTTAAATTATTTTGATGGAGTGATGTGGCGTTGAATAAGCTGATGTTTTGTTGTGTATTTTTTGTTTATTTTTTTGTGTATTTGAAATGTGTCCTGTGCTAATCAGCTAATTTTGTTTTTACATGATTAGGAGGCGAAAGTTTATTCTTCTTTCTGCTCCTTTTCATTCACTATTTGTTTTAGTTGTGACGTCAACTATTTGTATTGAGTGAATTGAATAAAAAATAAAATAAAATTAAACAATTTAGATTTCAGAGAAATACATAAAGCTGAGGTTTATTTTACATGTTTTAGCTACCAACATAATTCCCAAAACTCCTTTGCTTTCATTCTCGATTAGTAAGGGGAAAAAATGAAAGTGGTTTTAAAGCAAAAAACAACATACAAAGTTTGCAACCTTGAGATAAAGAAATGGTTCCATCTGATTGTTAGTATTTTTAAATAATAGATTTTTATTTTTAATTTTTAAATAGTAAGTAGAGTATAATTGTTAAGTGGAAGGAAAAGGAAAAACGGTTTTCAGATTCTTTTTTTAAAAAATGGAAATGTGAAAATGCTTGTATTCATTTTCATTCAGTCCTGCTGCAAAACCACTTTCTGTGTGTTTACTAGCAACCCAGAGATCTAAGTATTTGCTTTTCATTCTTTGCAAAAATAAAAAAGGTTCAATCATACTGGATGGAAAAAGAAAGACTAAATTTCAGTTTTCAGGTCTTTCTACAATTAATCTTCTGATCATCTGAATATCCTTTGAGCTGAAGCGTATCGTTGCAGCTGAATGTTTAAATTGTTTTTGTCCTGACTAAACTCTTTTGCGGTTTCCTCTCAGTATTTTTTTGTTACTCCATCAGTTTTCCATCAGTTTTGGCCAGATTTCTAATCCCTGCTGAGGAAAAGTGTTCCCACAGCATGATGCCACCATTATGCTTCACTCTGGGGAAAGTGTGTTCAGGCTGATATGCAGTATTAGTTAACAGCCAAATATGAAGTCAAAAAAAAATTAACTTTAGTCTGTTCACAGCATTTTGTATCTTTTAAATGACACCATTGACTAGATTTGAGATTAAAACTAAATATAGCTGTAATTTCAGATTTTTATTTGTTACCTTTTCCTTCAAATTCAACTTCTTTGTGTTGTTGTGACACAAAATCTGATTAAAATCTGTGCGAATGTAATGTGACAAAATTTCAAAAGCAAAAAGAGCAAAGAATACTTTTTTTATAATACAATGTATCTCATGTGCTGTTAAAATATACAGATTTTATTAAGATTGAATAATTTTATCACATTTTTACATCTGAATAAGAAGCTACAGCCTGAAGGAATTTTATTTCATTAAACATTTGTTTATTTACTGTTTTTTCAATATGTAAAAAAAAATGTCAAAACTTTTGCTTTGCATATTTAAGTGGGTGGAAGTGAAAACGTAAATCAATATTCCCACTCTTTATCCACCTACATAATCTCATATTTATTACATGTATTTGCAAATGACAAAACTCAACTTATAAATTTGCTTCTTTGTCAAACAATTTTTGAATGTTTTTCAGTTATTTATGGCTTTGTAAAGAGTCAATTAATTTGAATACTTTAGAATAAAGTGTGTTAGTGTTTTCTCAATATTCCACTTCATGGACTACTCTTATTGTTATTTTTTAATATTATTAACGCTTATATTGCAGTTTATTGCTCCAGTTCTCTGCACAATAACTTAAGATTAGTGAACAATAGAGCAGATGAAATGCTTTTTACAGGATTAAACTGTAACTGCTGGAGCTATCATCTATGGCAGGCTCAGCTTTCTGAGATAATTTTGGTAATTTATTATTTTTGACTGGACATCAGCCCCACACAGTGTAACTGCGAGGAGGCTGCTAAATGTCCTGCAGACAGGTTAAATCAACTGCTGTTTCTTTTTCTCTTGCAAGTTCTTGCTGTCAGTTTCAGCAGGAGATGGGATGGAAAACATGTTTTTATTCTGCCTAGAAAAAAATCACCCATGGCTGCGTTTGCAGAGCCTTGGATGCAAAAATCTGTGGCAGTAAATTATGAGCAGGGATGGAGCCAAAAAAATACCTGTAGCTAATTTTAATTCATGAATGAAGGAGTTGAATGACAAATTTATTGCACTGAAACAAAAAAAATTGAGAAAATATCTTCTGTTTTATTATTTCTTTCTTTTATTTTTTGGTATGGAATTATATTTTAAGCTCATTGTTTCGCATTTTGACCAAAGACATATGGAAAATGTCCAGATGTATTTTCTGACCTTGTCCCTGATGCCCTGTCGGAGGTTTTCTCTCTCTGCCTCCATTCTTGCATATTTCGCCTTCCTCTCTTCTTCTTGTTGCCTCAGTGCTTCTTGCCTCTCCTCCTCTTTTTTCTGAGCATCAGGGTCCTTCTCCTCCTCTCCTCCAAGCATTTTGCCCATGTCTTTAGTGGCCCCTGTTGACAGATGTAGCAGAAAAGAGACGGTTACTTCTATGAAAGAAATAAACAATTCTTATTTTTGTTGCTGCACAACTCATAGGAGCAGTGGTTCATCTAATAGTTGGATAATTGAATAGAAATTATTTTGTATTTCAAATTTCAAGCCGGTAAAACAGCAGCACTGTCTCCCTTTGACAGAAAGCAGCAGCAATAGACGGAACAAGTGCCACAATCACGACCAGAGATAAGAGACGCTGTAATTTCATTAACAATTCTCCTGATTGCTTTGTTGTCCTTTGTCATCTCCAACAGAAATTTATATGCAAAGTGTACACTTTGACCATGGATCAAGGCCTGAACAAAAGGCTGTTGAAATACAATAACAAGGACCCATTGCAACTCAACTTGTTGCTAATTTATGAATATAAATCACACTAAAGTATGTGGTAACATCAAATCCCCACAAAATACAAGTTTGTTGTTGTAATATGATAAAATATCAAAAATTGTATGAATACTTTTGCAGGGAAGTGTTTCAGCTGTCTTGAAGTCATTAGGATATCTCTTAATGAAGTGCTATCTTATCGCATCAATCCAAAACTTGAAATTAAACTGAGTTTATTGTTGATGATGCAATCATTTCTCAGATTAAAGAGATACCAGAGAGCTGAGCAAATGAAATCATCACTCAGTGAGATTAGGCTTACGAAAACATCCACAGGCAGTTTTAAAGCTGCGCCAAGAACCAATCTATCCTCAGTGACAAAACATCTTCTATTTGCTACAGGCACCAGCTGACACGGCTGATCTGTGGGTTTTCCTTTATGGATTATTTTCATGCTTGATCGATGAAAATAAGATTTTATGTTTTTTATGTAAAGATGAGGTGTGAAGATGGGAAAACATGATTGTTTGGGATAAGAGGAAGTCTGAATGTTTATTAAACATAGAAATATTTGGCTTGTGTGCACTGCCAGAGGTATCACGGTAAGATTACTATTTATTTATTTACACTGAAATAAATCATTTCTGCAAAGGGTGTGTATTTTATATGAGTGTGAGAAGCCATCTCTCTCTCTCTCTCTCTCTCTCTCTCTCTATATATATATATATATATATATATATATATATATATATATATATATATATTCTACCAAATATCAAACATTAGTATTGTTGTTTCTAAATGAATATGGACTTGTTTTTTTTTTTTTGCATTATTTTATGTCTGAAAGCTCTGTGTCCTTTTAGTTATTTTGTTATTTTCTCATTTTCTGCAAATAAATACTAAATTTTTGTTTGTATTTTTGTAATTTCAGAGACGTGTTGCCAGCAGTTCATGGAGTAAAAGAATAATTTTCATTTTACTCAAAAATATACCTATAAAAAGTAAAATCAGAGAAACAGAAATTTAAAGTGGCCTCTTAAATTTTTCCAGAGCTGTATATATATCAAATATATTTGATTCTTAACATCAAATATGTGTATTAAGCTCTTACAAAGCGTGCAGTAAAGCAAAATCTGAAAAATATTCCTGCAAATTTGAGAAATAGAGTTTACAGGATCTGTTATTACATTTTCTGAGTTTGTTATTTTTGGTTCTGTGGTCTCACTGGGTCAACTGGCAAAGTTTTAAACTGGAAGTATCCAGTCTGACAGCTACACAGACTTATTTGAAGAGTCAGTCTGCATGCTGAGCTCACTGCCTTCTCTTGGGACTCCGTCTGTGCGCTCTTACTCTGGAGATATTGGCTCTTCTTTCCGGCTCAATGGCTGGAAACAAGGCAGTGCTTTAAGAGTGGTCAGACGAATCCTGAACCCTTGTCTCTGCGCTCAATTCCAACCCACAGAGAAAGGAGAGATTATAATGAGAACTGGGCCTTCTTGAGTACGCTGGGCAAATTTGAAATCCATCCCACTCCCATATTGACCTCAGTCCGGCGCTCTTCTTGTCTTTATTAGGGCCTTTGTCTTCACCTCCGTCTCTGCATGTCTCCGATGTAGAGACAAAGTCTCTGGAGGAAGGACTCAAAGGCAGAGCCATCTGGCTTTGCATGGAAATTGATGAGACAGTTCTAACCTTGAGGTTCCCTGCTGACGTCTTGAGCTTGCCATATTGTACCAGGACAAGCCCCAGTTATTCGTGAGGGGACTGCTAATTAATTTTTATATAAAAAATATATTCTTTCATGAGTCTGAACCAGCATATCTTAGCCTGTTAATAATGTATACTGTGGAACAATTTGAAGAGTTTAAAACAGTGAAAAATGGATTTTAAATGGAGGTTTACAGTTTTCAGTTTCACAGATATGACATATAAAATCCTATGTGCTATTAAAGCGACATTATATAACTTTATATATATATATATATATATATATTGAAATTATCACTTTTTCATGACAGTATAGTATGAAACAGATCATTTGTGAAAAAATTGAGCTACTCTGCTAACTAGAATCAACCAATCAGAGCCAGGAGGTGGTCTTAGTGCTGTCAATCATGCCTGTGTGCATGCAGCTTCCACCGGTTAGCTGTAAATGCTAAGGCAAGTTAGCATGTCCAGTGGATTTCTATGGCGGTGAGTCATTTCTCTGCCACTAGCACATCTTGCAGCGCGTTCACATGGTTGATTGACAGCACTAAGACCCTCCTGCTGGCTCTGATTGGTTATTTTTGACTGCGAGTGGCAATAGCAGCTCAGGGAGGGCGTGGAGGAGAACGATCTTTTTAAAGATTATATGTTTTTTATTATGTTGTGAGGATGATTTTAAGATTTCCTGTTTATTAGTTCATAAGAGAAAAATCACATATATGTAAAATGAATTAATATATAGTTTATGTAAAATCTTTAATAGCTGCTCTAAAAAATAGAAGTAAGTCAAACATGAACAGCAGCAGATTTTGGTAAAGCCATTAAAACAGCCAACTTTTTATGTTTTTAGCTAAAATGATGAACATGACGAGAGGAAAACAATGGATGATTAAAAGAAAAACTTTACTTGAGCCACAACAGAAAGGATTCATTTTTGTCAGAAACTACCATTTAATTATTTAGTTTCTGTAAATGTGTGGTAAAGTTGCTCATGTTGTTTTGTTAAACTCTCAGTAGGATCGGATTCTGTCTCAGTTTTCCACCGCTGTCTCAATCTCATTATTCTGGTTAATCACACACTTTGCATGCAAATACCAAGTTACATGATTAACATGTTTCTGAGCAATCACAAAAACAGCAGTGACTCTCTCGGCTTGGAGATAACACCCACAGGAGTTTATTCTTAAACATGCTGCTGCTCTGTGCCTCGCTGGAAGACAAAGGAGAAGTTAAACTTTTTCTGTCTTTGTTCCTTGCAGCTTGAGGAGATTTACCAAATCTTGCATGAGTAGCAAGCTTCACAAAGCAAAAAACTTGGAGGGATAATATTTTGCATGACCTCAGATATGAGAGAAACTTTTCAAATGAAAACTAGTCTTCTCTGCACCGACACTTTAACATTTTGTGTGACACACAAAATTACATTGTTTGAGCTCATATCTTTTCTGTCCTTCCATTATGCATGATGCTGAATTTATATTACACACAGAAATTTAAAATTGGATTACACTGCAGATATTGTGCAGTATTTTCTCTCCCTAATATGGACAAGAACATGAAGACGAAATAAAATCATCGCAGATTTAAAGACAAATGATGAGATTAAAAAAGTTTTAGCTAAAGTTGGTACATTCATAAATATATATTTTAGATGTAAAGCCTCCATATGTTGTTCCTGCTTATGAATTTACTTGTTGGTTATTGTTCCTTATATTTTTTTCCTCTCTTTCCCATATGTTGATGTTTATTTTAACTTTCTCTCTCAAACCTCCACATGCGTAATCTTGATGCTCAAGGCTAATTAGCTCGTCTGATTGTGACAAACTTGCTGTGTGGAAATCTGTGACAGGCGTCATTCCCAAAAGCCTTGGAGTCATCAGAAGCTGCCTGTGGTGGAGTCTGTATGGTGGGAGAGCTCCAGAGTAAGAGATGAGAGCTCCAGCAAGAACAAAAAACCCCAAAAGAAACATGATTTAAGGGGCTTAATTAGAGGAAATAATGAGCAACTCTCTGTTTTACTTGTGAATTGGCATATTTCCTGCAAATGGTAGTGGATGGCTACGTAATGGTCTGATATAATTAGGCACTATTAATCTGAAATGCAGAAATATTTGATCTAATATGCATGTTGAGTCCTGAAAATTGATTAAAACAAACAAAAATATGTTCTCAATAAAAACTACAAAGCTTCATCCTCTCCATCAGAAATTCAGATAACAGGAAAGAGAGTTACTGTCATGTAATGGTAAAGAGAAAGACCCAAGGAAACAATTTTACTTTAAAAATGCTGATGGGAATAATAGCCTGGCATCTAAAATGACACATATTTAAGATGGAGAGGTGATTATTGAATAAGGAGCCGGTGGTTGATTAGAAACAGGGCACAGCTGGAATTGAAGCTGAACTGATGAAATTGGAGAAATGGCTGATAAAAATCACACCGAACAAGAGAACAGAATATAAATGCATATAAAATACCAAAATGAAGCAAAACACAAAACCAAACTCCAAAAAAACCATGGTAGTCTTCAAATAATCAGATGAAAATGGGACACAGAAAGAAAATCTGAATATGAAAAAAATACCAACAAGTGATTTTTGTTCTTCTTGTGGTGACAATAATTTACAACTTTATTTTAAAATCTTAAACAATATTTTCAATATTTGCAACTTAATAAATCAGAATGTCATCACAGAGTTAATTTATTTCAGCTCAAGATATAAAGCTGATACAATATATAGATCTCAAGAGTTTATTTTCATAAATATTCGAGGTGAAGCCTTGTGCCACTTTTTTCTTCCTCTGAACTTTCAATATAATTGGATACAGTACTTCAAAAACACTGCAGTGAGAATCACAAGGTCGTCTTGCAGCAAAACGCCAGCAGTCAGAGCAGAAAGAGGATAGGAGACGCTTTCC